ACACCAATGCTGGATGTTATTATTGCATCCACTGACACCAATGCTGGATGTTATTGCATCCACTGACAACAATTCTGGAGGTGAATATTGTGTCTGCTGACACCAATGCTGGGTGATATTTTTGTATCTACTGACACCAATGCTGGGGTTAATACTGCATCCACTGACACCAGTGCTGGGGGTTATTATTGCGTCTGCTGACACCAATGCTGGATGTTATTATTGCATTCACTGATACCAATGCTGTGGGTTGCTTTTGTGTCTGCTGACACCAATGCTGGGGGTTATTATTGTATCTACTGACACCAATGCTGGGGGTTATTATTGTATCTACTGACACCAAATGCTGGGGGTTATTATTGTATCTACTGACACCAATGCTGGGGGTTATTATTGTATCTACTGACACTAATGCTGGGGGTTTATTGTTGTATGTACTGACACCAATGCTGGATTATTGCATTCGCTGACACCAATGCTGGGGGTTATTATTGCGTCTGCTGACTCCAATGCTGGGAGTTATTATTGTATCTACTGACACCAATTCTGGGATTTATTTTGCGCTCACTGACACCAGCTGCGTTAAAAAATATAGAATCCCGAATCCACAACGACATTAATTGGTGAATTTTCCGATCGGCGCGCGGCGTTGGTGCGAACGATCGCTGTTCGGTGATTTGTCCTTATTTTAAATTAATATCTGGCTTTTCCATTACATGGAATTTCATAAAAATAAGATCGGCCGTTCTTCACGGAATATATCTGAACTCGGCGGAGTGGGCTTTTTTTAGCGGACGTTCTCCTCGATGTTTTTGCATATTCTTTGGCGCAGCATGTCCTCACCCCCCCCCCCCCCCCCATTGCCCTCAGCGGGGTCCGGATTAGGATGGAGGGGGAGTCGGGGAAAGCTGTGGAATGTAATACTTACATTATCTCCTCCCGGCACCGTGTCTTCTCCCGGCACCGCAGTTGTGATCTCCGTGTCGGCTCCCGCGCCGTAACACAATTACTTACCCTTCTGAGGAGCTGTCACTGTTGGTAAACTCAAGCGGCTAAACTGCATTACCCGGCAATCCGCTTGATCCCTCCAAGTTATTAATAGTTTATTGATTTCGCCCTATTGCTGCTGAAAGGTGTCTCCATCCCGCGCCGCTGTTATCTGAATCCCTGACTGGTGACGGCTCGCCGCGTCCTGATCAATACTCCTCCATCGCTGAAGTGAACGCGCCGCTCGGCACTCTTAATCCACTTTAGAAGGGGGCCGTGATACCGGGGGGGGGGCGGCAGAGGGAGCACAACTTCATCTCGGCGAGTCGGGAACTTGGGGCCGCCTCAGACGGATGGAAAGGAAGGGGGAGATGTCTGAGCAGGGCCGGGTTTGGCTTATCTGATATACTTATATCAGTTATCCGCATCAGAATGCCCCCTTAGATCAACCGTTTCCATCAGAGTGCCCCCTTAGATCAACTGTCCCCATCAGAGTGCCCCCTTAGATCAACAGTCCCCATCAGAGTGCCCCCTTAGATCAACAGTCCCCATCAGAGTGCCCCCTTAGATCAACCGTCCCCATCAGAGTGCCCCCTTAGATCAACCGTCCCCATCAGAGTGCCCCCTTAGATCAACCGTCCCCATCAGAGTGCCCCCTTAGATCAACCGTCCCCATCAGAGTGCCCCCTTAGATCAACTGTCCCCATCAGAGTGCCCCCTTAGATCAACAGTCCCCATCAGAGTGCCCCCTTAGATCAACAGTCCCCATCAGAGTGCCCCCTTAGATCAACAGTCCCCATCAGAGTGCCCCCTTAGATCAACAGTCCCCATCAGAGTGCCCCCCCCTTAGATCAACCGTCCCCATCAGAGTGCCCCCTTAGATCAACCGTCCCCATCAGAGTGCCCCCTTAGATCAACCGTCCCCATCAGAGTGCCCCCTTAGATTAACCGTCCCCATCAGAACTGCCCCCTTATATCAATTGTCCCCATCAGAGTGTCCCCTTATATCAGTTGTCCCCATCAGAGTGCCCCCTTAGATCAACTGTCCCCATCAGAGTGCCCCTTTAGATCAACTGTCCCCATCAGAGTGCCCCCTTAGATTAACTGTCCCCATCAGAGTGCCCCCTTATATCAGTTGTCCCCATCAGAGTGCCCCCTTATATCAGTTGTCCCCATCAGAGTGCCCCCTTATATCAGTTGTCCCCATCAGAGTGCCCCCTTATATCAGTTGTCCCCATCAGAGTGCCCCCTTGTATCAGTTGTCCCCATCAGAGTGCCCGCTTGTATCCGTTGCCCCCCATCAGCGTGCCCCTTATATCAGTTGTCCCCATCAGCGTGCCCCCTTTTATCAGGTGTCCCCATCAGCGTGCCCCCTTTTGTATCAGGTGTCCCCATCAGAGTGCCCCCTTTTATCAGGTGTCCCCATCAGAGTGCCCCCTTGTATCAGTTGTCCCCATCAGAGTGCCCCCTTGTATCAGTTGTCCCCATCAGAGTGCCCCCTTGTATCAGTTGTCCCCCCCCCTTGTATCAGTTGTCCCCATCAGAGTGCCCCCTTGTATCAGTTGTCCCCATCAGAGTGCCCGCTTGTATCAGTTGTCCCCATCAGCGTGCCCCCTTTTATCAGGTGTCCCCATCAGCGTGCCCCCTTTTATCAGGTGTCCCCATCAGAGTGCCCCCTTGTATCAGGTGTCCCCATCAGAGTGTCCTCTTGTATCAGTTGTCCCCATCAGAGTGCCCCCTTGTATCAGTTGTCCCCATCAGAGTGCCCCCTTGTATCAGTTGTCCCCATCAAATCCCCCCAATTACATCAGGATCCCACTCAGTGTCCCTCATAATGGGCACAGTGGGCATACAGACCCGGGAACTCTGCACAGGGATGGCGGGAACCCCTCATAATGGGCACAGCGGGTGTATAGACCCGGGAGCTCAGCACAGGGATGGCGGGAACCCCTCATAATGGGCACAGCGGGTGTACAGACCCCGGAGCTCAGCACAGGGATGGCGGGAACCCCTCATAATGGGCACAGCGGGTGTATAGACCCGGGAGCTCAGCACAGGGATGGCGGGAACCCCTCATAATGGGCACGGCGGGTGTATAGACCCGGGAACTCTGCACAGGGATGGCGGGAACCCCTCATAATGGGCACAGCGAGTGTATAGACCCGGGAACTCTGCACAGGGATGGCGGGAACCCCTCATAATGGGCACAGCGAGTGTATAGACCCGGGAGCTCAGCACAGGGATGGCGGGAACCCCTCATAATGGGCACGGCGGGTGTACAGACCCCGGAGCTCAGCACAGGGATGGCGGGAACCCCTCATACCCTTTGTTCCTGTGCGTGGTCATTGCTCCTCAGCACACCATAACGAAGCATGTCTAGACCAGAGCGGAGCCATCAGCCAGCATGGCGTCTCCCTAGTTTGTGAGGGTGTCATGTCTGGGTGTCAGCAGTTCTCCTCCCGTGCCCAATGATTCGAGCCGCTCGTCCTCTCAGCACCGCTTTGTAATTAGCGCAGAGTTGTTCTTTACGCATCATTAGCGATCACCAGCCTCGCCACCTAAGCAGGCCGCCATCGTCCCGTGAAATCGGCGGCGGCGGACGGTAAATCAAGTCTCCTGCACTCCTCCAGCCTGACAGATGTATAAATGGCGATGTGAATTATTAAAAGACGCGTCTAAATAATACATCGCGGGAGAATATATTTCAGCGCGGAGAAAAAAAACGTCCAACGCGACCCGGAGCAAATCCTCAAAAATGAACTTCCCAGTCCCGTGTTACTTATTTATAGCCGGGATATATGTCTCTGGTGTCTCCGCCGCGATGGAAGATCTGCATCCCGGAGCAGGGGGGGGGGGGGGGGGAGGGGCGGAGGGGGTCGCCCGGTACAACGACTACAAGTCTCAGCATACCTTGGGGTGCGTGATGCGTCCACCACTTCCCAACCTGACCAGTGCATGCTACAAGTCAGAATGTGATTGGATAGCTCCGTAGGCAGGGGCAGACTGACAACTCATGGGGCTCCCGGGCAATAGGGGATCATGGGGCCCCTGTGTCCTCGCCCACACTCAATCCACACCCAAAAAGCCTCTGAAAGGTACCAGGGGCATCTCATGGGGCCCCCTACTGACCCCGGGCCCTCGGGCAGTGCCTCAAATGTTCAGTCCGCCCCAGTCCGTAGGATATAAAGGGAGGCATTTTTCATGCATTTTTTGTAAAATGAAAAACTGATCGGTGTGAGAGGGACCTCGAAAAGTCCCACGTACTCCATTTTGGGGGACGTTTAAAAAATCGCATCGAAAACGCACCTCACCATTGACGCGAGTGGGAAATGGATTAAAAACGCACCCGTGGTGGGTTTTTTTGTGGGTTTTTTTGGGTCACCTGTCCAAGTTTCACAAATGCACACTGGAAGATCCAGAAAATACACCAAAACGCGCTGAAAAAGTGTTAAAAAAAAAAAGAAAAATGCGTGTTTGCAAAACGCATACTGCATTTTTAAGCGCACCATTGTGAAAGGGCCCCAATTTTTTAGCATTGGCGGTTCCAATTTAAAAGTCGTTTCCAATATTAGTAAGTCTGCCCGTGTGAGGACACTAAGCACTTGCCTTCATTAAAATAATCCCTGGTGATCCTACCTTGATGGTCACTTCCTGTCGTAGGATGACAACGCTCTGTCCTCGTCCAACAATCACACTCCTGTGTTGTCACTCTGCCCCATGGAGACTAAGGCTCTTTTTACATAGTTAGTCTGGCTGAAAACAGACAAAAGTCCATCTTCAACCATGCCCCCCACAGTTGATCCAGAGGAAGGCTAAAAGAACCCTTTTTTTTTTCGATAAATAATAGGTGATTTTTTTTTTTCTCTTTTAAATTTGCAAGACAATGGCATCTTCTGACTGGCTGAACCGCAATGACGTCACTCACGGCATGTATGTGGGAGCTTAGGCCGCAGCATGGAGCTCTGAAGGGATGGGCACAAATACACTATATTGCCAAAAGTATTGTCCCCGCCCTCCAAATCATGTGATTCAGGTGTTCCAATCCCCTCCAAATCATGTGATTCAGGTGTTCCAATCCCCTCCATATCATGTGGTTCAGGTGCTCCAATCCCCTCCCAATCATGTGATGATTCAGGTGTTCCAATCCCCTCCCAGTCATGTGTTTCAGGTGTTCCGATCCCCTCCATATCATGTGATTCAGGTGTTCCGATCCCCTCCATATCATGTGATTCAGGTGTTCCAATCCCCTCCATATCATGTGATTCAGGTGTTCCAATCCCCTCCATATCATGTGATTCAGGTGTTAGAATCCCCTCCATATCATGTGATTCAGGTCCCCTCCCCTCCATATCATGTGATTCAGGTGTTCCAATCCCCTCCAGTCATGTGATTCAGGTGTTCCGATCCCCTCCATATCATGTGATTCAGGTGTTCCAATCCCCTCCCAATCATGTGATTCAGGTGTTCCAATCCCCTCCCAATCATGTGATTCAGGTGTTCCAATCCCCTCCAAATCATGTGATTCAGGTGTTAAATCCCCTCCATATCATGTGATTCAGGTGTTTAAATCCCCTCCATATCATGTGATTCAGGTGTTTTTAAATCCCCTCCATATCATGTGATTCAGGTGTTTAAATCCCCTCCATATCATGTGATTCAGGTGTTTAAATCCCCTCCATATCATGTGATTCAGGTGTTCCAATCCCCTCCATATCATGTGATTCAGGTGTTCCAATCCCCTCCAATCATGTGATTCAGGTGTTCCAATCCCCTCCATATCATGTGATTCAGGTGTTCCAATCCCCTCCCAATCATGTGATTCAGGTGTTCCAATCCCCTCCAAATCATGTGATTCAGGTGTTCCAATCCCCTCCATGGACACAGGTGTATACAATCAAAGCCCCTAGGCATGCAGACGGCTTCTACAAACATTGGTGAAAGAATGGGTCGCTCTCAGGAGCTCAGTGACTCCAAGCGTGGTCCCGTGATAGGTGGCCACCTGGGCAATAAGTCCATCTGTGACATTTCCTGGCTACTAAATATTCTACGCTCAACTGTTAGTGGGATTATAACAAAGTGGAAGCCACTGGGAACAACAGCCACTCAGCCACCAAGTGGTAGGCCACGTCACATGACAGGGCGGGGTCAGCGCATGCTGAAGCGCACAGTGCGCAGAAGTCGCCAACTGTCTGCAGAGTCAATAGCTAAAGATCTCCAAACTTGGTGTGGCCTTCAGATGAGCCCAACAACAGTGCGTAGAGAGCTTCATGGAATGGGTTTCCATGGCCGAACAGCTGCATCCAAGCCTTCCATCACCAAGTGCAATGCAAAGCGTCGGATGCCGTGGTGTAAAGCATGCCGCCACTGGACTCTAGAGCAATGGAGACGTGTTCTCTGGAGTGACCAATCACGTTTCTCTGTCTGGCTGGCAATCCGATGGATGTGTCTGGGTTTGGCGGTGGCCATGAGAACGATACTTGCCTGACTGCATTGTGCCAAGTGTAAAGTTTGGTGGAGGGGGGATTATGGTGTGGGGTTGTTTTTCAGGGGTTTGCTTGGCCCCCTAGTTCTAGTGAAGGGAACTCTTAAGGCAACATTTTGGACAATTTCATGCTCCCAACTTTGTGGGAAGAGTTTGGGGATGGCCCCTTCATGTTCCAACATGACTGCACACCAGTGCACAAAGCAAGGTCCATAAAGACATGGAGGAGCCAGTTTGGGGTGGAGGAACTTGACTGTCCTGCACAGAGTCCTGACCTCAACCCCATAGAACACCTTTGGGATGAATTAGAGTGGAGACTGCGAGCCAGGCCCCTCCCCCCGACATCAGTGCCTGACCTGACAAATGTGCTTCTGGAAGAATGGTCCAACCTTCCCATAGACACCCTCCTAAACCTTGTGGACGGCCTTCCCAGAAGAGTTGAAGCTGTTATAGGTGCAAAGGGCGGGGCCAACTCAATACTGAACCCTACGGACTAAGACTGGGGGGGCCATTAAAGGTCATGTGCGTGGAAAGGGCTGGGCCAACTCAATATTGAACCCTACGGACTAAGACTGGGGGGCCATTAAAGGTCATGTGCGTGGAAAGGGCGGGGCCAACTCAGTATTGAACCCTACTGACTAAGACTGGGGGGGCCATTAAAGGTCATGTGGGTGGAAAGGGCGGGGCCAACTCAATATTGAACCCTACGGACTAAGACTGGGAGGCTATTAAAGGTCATGTGTGGGAAAGGGCGGGGCCAACTCAATATTGAACCCTACAGACTCAGACTGGGGGTCATTAAAGGTCATGTGCATGGAAAGGCCGGCCGACCGATACTTTTGGGAATGTAGTGTATGCAAGGAGTAGCTCCCTCCTAACCCTTTTGTATTGAACTGTATTGTTGCTGTATTGTCCCCCGTTATATTAAGCGCTGATGGCTCTTGGCTCCTTATAAAACCTGGCTCCATATAAATAATAATAATAATAACGCCGACCCTTCAGAACACATGCGGTGCAGTGTGAATATCTCCTGAACTGTGCAAGTACTTACAAGTAAGCCTTATTATAGGCTTACCTGTAGGTTCAAGTTAAAAAACAAAGATTTTGCTACCACTTTAAGATCCTTGAGAAGGCACTTCCTGTTATAAGGTGACAACACCCTGTCCTTGTCTCCCAGTCGTTGTCCTGCGTTCATTGTCACCCTATTTTGATGGAGACTACAGGTGGCCTTTCCAATACTGTCACATACCTGATTGGAGACTGAAATGACGAGGTCGGCCTCACTTGTGTCACTGGTCCTGAATGTACTGGAAGTGGAACAGAGGGTGTCTAGGGACCAGGGGGACAAGTGCCAGCAGATGTTGTTTTGAAGCACTTGCAGCTGGAGTCCTTGGAAGACTGATGAACCTCTGATTCAGGAACAGTAGTGATATGCAGACCTGGTATGGTAGGTCGCCAGGTGTGCACCAGAGCAAGGCAGGAAGCTGGGATGGGAGACAGGAGCAATGTCATAGGAATAGCCAGGGTCATCAACGGGCGGACAGCGAGGTACCAAATCATAAGCAAGCCTAAGTCAGGAGTAGAGCCGAGGTCAGGAACAGTGGCTGACTGACAACTCATGGGGCCCCCGGGCAATAGGGGATCATGGGGCCCCTGTGTCCTTGCCCAAACTCAAAAGGGCCTATAAAAAAGGTACCAGGGGCATCTCATGGGGCCCCTTACTAACCCTGGGCCCTCGGGCAGTGCCCGAGCTTCCAAATGGTCAGTCTGCCCCTGGTCAGGAATGAATATCAAGCAGGAGAGTAATCAGAGTTAGGTCAGGAACAAGCCGGGTCAGCAACAAGGGAATCACACAGGAACAAGCAGGACACGGGGACAGCTGAAGACCAGTCAGCACTCAGCACAGGCAGAGGCACCCTTTAAATAGTCTGTCTGGCGCCAATCTTTGCCGTGCGTGAGCGATCGCGCACATCTGGTCACTCTTCTCCAGATATTTCCGTGCGCATTCTCATTTCTATACGCCAGCCGTCACGCAGGAATTCCCTTACAAATACACAGCACACAGGCATGGTCCACTGTTGTCACCATCATGGAAAATGTCCGTGATCGCGCATGTCTGGTCACTCTTCTCCAGATATTTCTGTGCGCATGCTCATTTCTATTCGCCAGTCGTCTCACAGGAATTCCCTTACAAATACACAGCACACAGGCATGGTCCACTGTTGTCACCATCATGGAAAATGTCCGGCAGCCCTCACTGGAGGCCATGCAGACTGGAAGTAGCTGCAGACGGGTGCAGGGGATCAGCAGCATTGAGATGCAACAAGGGGTGAAAGCAAGAATATAATTTAAATTAAAAAAAATGTCAATTATGATACACAGAGCTTGAGCAAGAACAGGTCTTCAATGAGGCTGGACCACAGGGGGGGCGCTGTCACCCATTGTAGCCCCCATGCAGTATGTGCATTTCTTAAGTAACTCTTGTGTCCGGTGGAAAAGTTCATCTCTAATATCTGTGATCTGTGTATGCAGCAGTCTGGCCGTGATTTGCTCCTGAAGTTGTACGGTTAGAACTCAGTTTTGGTGTAATTATGATACTTTTCCTCCCTTGCCTTACATTGATATCTATAAAGAGAGATTTTTGACTATTATCTAAATAGCTTTATGTTCTACAGCTATAATGTCCTCCGCGGGCTGTAAGATGGTTCTCTGATACATAATATTACCCGAGCAATCGAACCGCCAGGCCCTGTAATCTAAACGACGCACTTCTCAGTAATCTGATATTTTTATTCCCCGACAAATGAGTGCAATTTGATGCCGAGCCTCCCGGGAAATGCATTGATAGCCAGGACTTCAGCTATTTAGAGAGCTGGGATTTGTACACGAGACCTGATGGGTTTTGTTTTTGTTAATTTACCAGTTTTTTAAATGTATCATTTGTATATGTATCATCTGTTGTATATGTATCATTTGTTGTATATGTATCATTTGTTGTATATGTATCATTTGTTGTATAGGTATCATTTGTTGTATATGTATCATTTGTTGTATATGTATCATCTGTTGTATATGTATCATCTGTTGTATATGTATCATTTGTTGTATATGTATCATTTGTTGTATAGGTATCATCTGTTGTATTGTATGTATCATCTGTTGTATATGTATCATCCGTTGTATATGTATCATTTGTTGTATATGTATCATCTGTTGTATAGGTATCATCTGTTGTATATGTATCATCTGTTGTATATGTATCATCTGTTGTATATGTATCATCTGTTGTATATGTATCATCTGTTGTATAGGTATCATCTGTTGTATAGGTATCATTTGTTGTATATGTATCATTTGTTGTATATGTATCATCTGTTGTATATGTATCATTTGTTGTATATGTATCATCTGTTGTATATGTATCATCTGTTGTATATGTATCATCTGTTGTATATGTATCATCTGTTGTATAGGTATCATCTGTTGTATAGGTATCATTTGTTGTATATGTATCATTTGTTGTATATGTATCATTTGTTGTATATGTATCATCTGTTGTATATGTATCATTGTTGTATATGTATCATCTGTTGTATAGGTATCATCTGTTGTATAGGTATCATCTGTTGTATATGTATCATTTGTTGTATATGTATCATCTGTTGTATATGTATCATCTGTTGTATATGTATCATCTGTTGTATATGTATCATCTGTTGTATAGGTATCATCTGTTGTATATGTATCATCTGTTGTATATGTATCATCTGTTGTATATGTATCATTTGTTGTATATGTATCATCTGTTGTATATGTATCATCTGTTGTATATGTATCATCTGTTGTATATGTATCATCTGTTGTATAGGTATCATCTGTTGTATATGTATCATCTGTTGTATATGTATCATCTGTTGTATATGTATCATTTGTTGTATATGTATCATCTGTTGTATATGTATCATTTGTTGTATATGTATCATCTGTTGTATAGGTATCATCTGTTGTATAGGTATCATCTGTTGTATATGTATCATCTGTTGTATATGTATCATTTGTTGTATATGTATCATTGTTGTATAGGTATCATTTGTTGTATATGTATCATCTGTTGTATAGGTATCATTTGTTGTATAGGTATCATCCGTTGTATAGTGTATCATTTGTTGTATAGGTATCATTTGTTGTATATGTATCATCTGTTGTATAGGTATCATTTGTTGTATATGTATCATCTGTTGTATAGTATCATCTGTTGTATATGTATCATCTGTTGTATATGTATCATCTGTTGTATATGTATCATCTGTTGTATATGTATCATCTGTTGTATAGGTATCATCTGTTGTATATGTATCATCTGTTGTATAGGTATCATTTGTTGTATAGTATCATTTGTTGTATATGTATCATCTGTTGTATAGTATCATTTGTTGTATATGTATCATCTGTTGTATAGGTATCATTTGTTGTATAGGTATCATCCGTTGTATAGGTATCATTTGTTGTATATGTATCATCTGTTGTATAGGTATCATTTGTTGTATATGTATCATCTGTTGTATATGTATCATCTGTTGTATATGTATCATCTGTTGTATATGTATCATCTGTTGTATAGTATCATTTGTTGTATATGTATCATCTGTTGTATAGGTATCATCTGTTGTATAGGTATCATCTGTTGTATATGTATCATCTGTTGTATATGTATCATCTGTTGTATAGGTATCATTTGTTGTGTATATCGTCTGTTGTGTATGTATCATCTGTTGTATATGTATCATCTGTTGTATATGTATCATTTGTTGTATATGTATCATCTGTTGTATATGTAACATTTGTTGTATAGTATCATCTGTTGTATAGGTATCATCTGTTGTATAGATATCATCTGTTGTATAGGTATCATTTGTTGTATATGTATCATTTGTTGTATATTGTATCATTTGTTGTATAGGTATCATCTGTTGTATAGGTATCATTTGTTGTATATGTATCATTTGTTGTATATGTAACATTTGTTGT